TGCAGCCAGTGTTCATCATTTGCTCTCCTTGTACAGACCTGACAGAACAATCTCTAGGTTTATGTCTTAAAGCCCCTTGGTGCCTGATGACCTGGAAGGAATTCTTGCTTGCCACAAGCGACCAGACAAGTCAAGTGGCTATTTTGGAAACTGGCTGAATGTACAAGTAGAGACATGGTAATGAAAATGCAGATGATATTATTTCATATTGGATTAAAATATAATATTTACCTACAGCATTTGCTAACGTGCAAGAAGGGACGTGGTAGTGCTGTGGGTTAAACCGCAGAAGCCTCTGTACTGCAAGGTCAGAAGACCAAGTAGTTGTAAGATCGAATCCACGTGACGGAGTGAGCTCCCATCGCTTGTCCCAGCTCCTGCCAACCTAGCAGTCCGAAAGCATGAAAAAATGCAAATAGATAAATAGGTACCACCACAGTGGGAAGGTAACAGTGTTCCGTGTCTAGTTGCGCTGGCCACATGACCACGGAAACTGTTTACGGACAAACGCTGGCTCTACGGCTTGGAAACGGGGATGAACACTGCCCCCTAGAGTCAGACACGACTGGACTAAATGTCAAGGGGAACCTTTACCTTTACTTAAGACTTTAAGAAGTTCTTTTGATTGCCGCTTTGCTATGAAGATGCTCACAGGAATCAGTTTAGAAGCATTCCTGGTAACAATGCAGTGATTAGTAGACAGTGGCAATGATTTATCAAGAACAAATCCTACCAGCTAAAAATGTCATCTATTTTTAAATTCAGGTTGCCAGTTTAGTGGACTATGGGAATGCTATGGAAGTAATTCATCTATTTTAGCAATACATTTGACAGACTCTGAAGGCATTTGTATTAGCTAACTGGCTGAATTCAGCTAGATAAAATCACTGAATGGATGAAAAGTTGGCTGGAGTGCTCACAAGTAACTCCTCATAAAACCATAGTGTTGTCAGAGTTTGTCCTGGCCCTTATACTATTTATTGGTATAAATGAGTCAGAATACCAAAGGGGTAGGGGAAACCATTTTCAAATTTGGAAGTGACACTGAAAGTAGGAGGCATAGCTAACACTTCGAAAAGGGGAAACAGAATTCAAAATTACTTTGGCAAAATGAAAAACAGGGGTGAAATTCAGCAGGGTCAAATACAAACTTCTGCATTAATCTTTCACCAAAATAAATGAGAGATAACTGGGTTGTCAACAGCACCCATGAAAAGAATATCAAGATTAAGTTATCATAGTCTGAACAGTGTTGAATTGGCAGTGTTCGGTGAGTGAAAAAAGTCTAATGGAATTCTGAGGTGCATAATTAGAACTTGTCTCCATGACAAGAAGTAATGTTTTCCTTTTTCTGCACAGGTTGGACTTAGAACACTGGTTCTCAACCAGTGGGTGACACACAGAGGTAACTTAGGTGAGACACTGATTTTTGTAACACTGTGAATCTCCACACATCATGTCCTGCAACCATGTTGTTATATGTATTGTAATGTGCACTATACCTAAAACACACAAAATTGTTGTGTTTACAAGCATTGCAACAAATTTTAAAAAATCTGTATTCAAGAATACTGTTACTATTAATTGTTATTATTTTTGTTTGTATTTAATTTTAACAATAAGGTAAAGGTTCCCATCGACATTTAGTCCAGTCGTGCACAACTCCAGGGCATGGTGCTCATCCCTGTCTCCAAGTCATAGAGCCAGCGGTTGTCCGTAGACAGTTTCTATGGTCACGTGGCCAGCGCGACTAGACACGGCATGCTGTTACCTTCCCACCTAGGTGGTACCTATTTATCTGCTGGTCTTCTGACCTTGCAGCACAGAGGATTCTGCGGTTTAACCCTCAGCGCCATCACGTCCCTACTTTTAACAATACTATTGTAATTTTATTTTCCTAAAATGCATATTAAATGATGAATTTAATTAAATAATGTCTGTAAACATATATAGATCTTTCTTAGGGAAAGGGACAAATACAATGTCATAATGAGACACACATTTTCACAGAGTAGCTAGTGGAACCTAAGATATGGAAGTTTGAGGTCCACTAATAGAGTACAATATTTCATGGTGCACATTGCATTTTAAGAGCATACAGATAAAAGGGGACTGGTTAAAAGGTGGCAACAAAGATGGTCAAAAGTATGGGAAAGACATCCTATGAGAAAAAGCTGAAATACCTAAGTATCCTTAGCCAAGAGAAGACAAGATCATTAAGGAATAGAGGCCCAGGATATGACAACACTCTTTAAACATCTAAACTCAGACTTATTCTCTGTTATCCTGGAGGGCAGGGCTGGTTCTAAGGGGATATTACAGCACAGTCTAGTAAATATTGATTCAGGAGTAAATCCTATTAAGAACTCAGTAGAGATTATTCCCCCAAAAAGTGAGTATAGGATTGCAACCCAAGTTAAAGGAGAGGCAATGCCAGCTGAATATTGAGACATTTAAGAATAAGTGCAGTATCATAAGTGAACTAATTCCTGGGACATGGGAAGATGTCTTCCTTGATGGAGATGTGTGAACAGAGAAGGGACACCCATCTATTGGAGATTTCCAGCTCTGGCATCAGCATTAATCAGTACTGGATGGAACAGATGGCCTATATAAGACCTCGTCCAACTCTATGAAACTTGTCCTGTTGTTTCTGAAGAAGTATTTTCCCACCTAAAAATTGTCAGACCTTGGAAAATAGACTATTACAGATGCATATCTGTAAGCAATTCTCTCTTCTTTGTACCAATATCTTCTCTCCCTGGTTATAATCACCACATAAACTAGAAACGAAATCAAGTGCTAGTTCACACAGTCAGCTCACAATTACTTTGGACATGAGCAAACCCTGATACAGTATCATAAAGAGACCAGTCACATACTCAGCTGTTTTGATCACGTATCTTTCTCAGTCAAAACCATCTACACAGACTAAATTCACTGCTGCATTTGGACTATACCAGTGAAGAGCTGAAGCAATATATATAGATAATATGAAAATTAACACTGTAGAATGCACTACATTGGCTTCCATCAATGCTACTGCATAAGATCTGTGAACACATTAGTTAATTGCTCAACATACCTACAGATACTAATAAATCACATCTTCCCCCTATATTAACTATTCATAATGTAATTTTGATTGTGCTACTAAGCCAGCATTTTCAGAAAAAAATAATGCATCAATACTCATTTCAAATATTCATACATAGGTTTAGTTTTAAAATAAATTCTTCTGCCTTTTTAAAGTTTAATCAGAGTTGTTAACATCTTCGTAGGCATTAAGGTGAACACTCACACTTCTGCAAGATTGTTTTCTCAGCCCTTAATTTATCTACATCATCAGGTAACTGGCACGTATCAGTATAAATATTAATTATTAGGAATAACATTTTTTGCAAAGGCTGCAATTCTGACTGCACCAATATGGACGTAAAGAGTAGTCAAATTCAATGAAGTACACACAAATACACTGAGAAACTTTAGAAATGTCACAATCTTAATTTTAAACTAATTTGATCAGGACTGCAAAACCAAACCATTGCTCAGATTATGTAATAGCACTGTCATATATACCTTACTCAGCAAAATGTCAATAGGCCAAAGCAATTATCTTTCCATCAGAAAGAGTTCAGGGAGGCTATAAATATTTTAAAAATATTAATCAATCCCTTAGAAACCCCCTCCCAAATCATCTCAAGTTGAACAGTGTCGATGGCAAGAACTTTCCTTAAGTATTCCTTTCCACACAGTGGTATTGATATATATTTTTTTCTAAAATATGGTAGATTTCTGGCTGGTATCTTAAGGGAACAAGATATATGTAGTGTTTCATTTAAATTACTCAAAACTCTCTTTGTTTACAAGGAAAGGTGGACAGCCAGAATCACGTAGGTTGCACAAGAGGGGTGAAGGTTAGAAAGACTTATTTTTTGACAGGCAGAAAACTGAGGTAGTTTCAGCAACACAAAGATGAGGGTGTTATCTGTCAAGGCAGGAGGAGGTGGGGAGGGAAGCAACACTACTTATACACTCCACAACATGTCACTATAATGACCAATGAAATATAATTTTATTAATGTTAAAGCAGTAAGAACCAAGTAACTGTGCATTTTTAAAGTATATTCGTTCTCCTGCCCCCCCTCTTTTTCTAAAAGAGTTTGTACTGCACATGACTACATGTTTCCTACTCTGTGAATAACCTTTGAAGCATAACATGTAAAACCGGAGTGACAGGTGGTTGGGAAAGTGTAAAAAGGCAACAGTTCTTCCCCCAACAAAGTCTACAAGGTATGCCATTTAAATGTGGAAGTGTCTTACACCTTACTAGTTAATTCTATATAACAGTGGACAGAACGGCTGTGTATAAACAACCCTGTTTGATAGATGTACATGGAGCCTAAGAAAAACAAAGTTTGGAGGCTAGTAAAGAAGAGAAGGTAGGAAAGTGAAATTAGAAACACAGCAATAGCGGCAGCAACCAGGGGAAAAAATTCTGTCAGCGACTCCCTCCCACCAGATCTTTTTATATAACTAGTTTCTAATCTCCCCCCATGCCTACTCTTCGGGGATAATAATAATAATAATAATAATAATAATAATAATAATAATAATAATAATAATAATAATAATAATAATAATAATAATAATAATAATAAT